TCGTAAAATTATGTCACAACTCTGGATAAGCAATAAATGTGACACGCGTAAACACTTGAATGGCATAATGTTAAAACAAAGCTATGAGTTGTTTCAGGCTTAATTGAAATACCGTCGGTGTTCATTAGCGTGGCACTATCAAATAACATCACTGCACGTACTTTCAACATACATATGCATAGACGTTAATCAAATTATACCACCCGTCCAAATGAGGATAGATTATATTACAAACGCTAATCTACCTTAAATTTGTGGGCTTAACCGTAGTTAATAGTAACATTTCATGCATGTTAAGCTCTACTTCAAACTACATTCATTAATTCATTATACTATTAATGGCTGTTTCGTCCAACTTGATATAATATTTCATAGTCCACTGCCAAATATACGCCTCCCCCATAGATTTCCTCATAGGGGGATATTTGCCACAGTTGCCACGCTTGCAGATGGCAATGGCAATTTTTCATTTTTAGTTGTTATTAGGAAGACGCTGCTGCTCATTTTCTTTGTCTCCATCTGTCGCCTCCTACGAAACCCACGGGATGATATGAGGTAGTGGATATTCTTGAACCGCCACTACCGTGTCACGGTATTTAAGATCATTAAATTAGTTTTAATAATTTTAGTTTGGTAGCGGCGTAAGATAACTCGTCAGCTCATTTCGTCTTGTGATTCGTGTGGCGATTATGAGATAGGCTAGAAATATTTTATGATACCCGATAGACGTTATTAAACCAATTCACCTATACCAGGCGTAAGATACATGCATTTTACGTGGTAGAGCCACACTGCATCCATTATGGTTGTAGCATGAATGGATCGGCTCGACCGGGTAAGGACCACACTCTCACAGAATACCACCGTAAAATAGCAGCTTAATGCTGCTATGTGTCGTATGGCGAATGTAGAGAACTGGAGATCCGTTTTACTGGGATCGAGGCATTCCATCTTACTCCTCAAGGGTGACAACGCATCTGTATTAAGCGAGGTTAAATGTAGATGTATATGAGCCACATCGTTCACTTACAATTAAGTGTGTGCCTGTTTGTCACCCTTATCTTATAAAAAAAATGCAGCGGTGGTTGGAGCAGTGTTAAAGGTTCGTGTCTGGTATTGCGATCGTTAATATGCCAAATCCTACATATAACGAGAGGGGCCCAAGCCCAGCAATGAATTCGTGCGAGCTAATAAAGAAAAGAAGAAAATAAGCTGTAACGGTAACGGATATAAAATTGTTTTTTTTTTTAAATCCGGAGATGTCAAACTTCAAAGGACCTATAATAAAACATGAATATTTCAATGTGTTTCGGTAACATTATTAGCCCTTTGGGGTTAGATATTTTCCTCTAGCGGTATAACGCACGAAATTTTATGTGCCTACAAAAACTTTTGGCATGTATTATGTATTACTATTGTGAATCACAACAATTTTATTATTATGGGACAAGTTCTCTGTGTGGGTATGACCAATCCGCTATTCTTTATTAATATTTTTATTAAAACTTGACTAGGTACTTTTAATAAAAACATCTACACTATAAAATAATTAAATTTCCTTGCTCTTAAACCGTCTCAAAAGTGAGAGGCCTGTGCCCAGCAGCGGGACGGACTTTTACACCATAAAAATGGTAAAAAGGACATTAAATTTATTATTAGTTTATTTTGTTAATTTTTAAATGGACGTTAAGTTTATAATTAAAAGAAAACTAAAACTATAATCATCCAATAGTCGTACTCTCCGCGATCCTGGCGAAACCTCGCTGCGTTTCTTCGCTGTATAAAACCTAGCCTTTAGGCGAAAAAAGAACCCGCCCTCTTGTGTATATACTGTCGAAATTTTAGAAGCACCTTGTAGTCATATTTCGAGTTACTATCGCTACTTTTTTGATATTATTTCCTATATAGAATTGGCGATGTTGTCAACACGCACATCACTAATTCATCTTCACCATCATCAACATCATTACAGCTCATCACAAGTTTATTGCTGAGTCACTGCATCCATTGACTTCTCGAATCTCTTTCCAGGTTGTTAAATGGAGGGCCGCCCTGCACTTCGCTTACTGGTACGAGGCTCCCACTCGAAAACCTTTCTTCCTCACCGGTCGTTTCGAGCTATATGGCCAGCCCACTGCCACTTCAGCTTACTGATCCTTTGAGCTATGTCGATTACTCTGTTTCTACTGCCGATATTCTGTAAGTAGTCTGTCACGCAAAGACTCAACTAACAGCTTACTCTGAACTTAGCCCTCTCCATAACTCACTGAACGACATTAAAACCTTCCTCATACGCTTAGCAGTGAAGAACCACGTCTCGAAATATTAAATCATGAAGTCTAGAGTCCGAGCTATAAGTATATTAGACACCGTCTGTTAATAATTGATCGCAAAGCGAAATCAAATAATTTATACAATGTATCAAACTCTATTAAAAAGTATTAAGCTGTTAAGTTCCTAAGTGATTAGATTGATTCAATATGCATATGTGAAGATTGACAGATGTAGCGAGTCAATCAGACTCCATTAGCGATGTGTTGATCGCATGGACAGTATAGCGAGGGAAATTATTGATTTGCGCCTAATTTCCGGTTGATCGGAGGCGACGGTGGACTGCGGGTAGCGGGCGTGGACGCGGTCAGCTCTCCACGTACAAGTTCGATCGCTCGACAAGCAATTCAAAACGCATCTCTACCATTTATTGACTGGAATATAACCGCTGCTAACTGCGTATAGAGCTTAATTTTATTACCTAAGTTTTACTTGATAACTATTAACAATTTCCTTGTTTTACTTATTACAAAACTAGTTTTCTAACTTGTAACCTCACACTGATGGGTACTATATTTACTCAAATTATAATATTTCATGTTTTTAATGTAACATTTATCAATAACTAGCCAGCCCGGTAGACGTAATTCTGTCCTTTCTGGTTGGTGGCGTGATGAGTTTCTTTTCACAAACACACACTTCTGTAAATTTATTAACCGTACAACTAAATCCTCTTTTGGATTAATATAACCATCAGCAGACATAATGACAATAAACTTAGAAAACGGAAAAACAATCCTTTTTTTAGTCTTCCGTAAGCAGATAAAAAGTGTATATTATGCCTTGAACGGACGACACACACGGTCAGTTCAACTGATCCTTCCAACTGATCAGTTCAAACTAGGATTGTTGATATTTTTTAAAATATCGGATTTTCGTTTTATCGATAAATAAACATATATATAAAAATCCGATAGTGATATATTTATAATTCTTAATTTAATTTGAAATCGAAAACCCGATATTTAAAAAAAATCAACAGTCACAGTTTGAACTGATCACTTGGAATGATCAGTTGAACTGACCGTGTATTTATATGGACGACACCATAAATTATACACTGTCATTTACTGCCAAGTGCCGACGTACAAAATTTTATGAAACTTTATCTAGTAGTGGTAGAGCCATGCTGCAGTTATATTAGTAGTATAGTTGTAGCACGAATGGGTCGGCTCGACCGGGGAAGGACCACGCTCTCACAGAATACCAGCGTGAAATAGTAGCTTAATGCTGCTGTATTTCGTATGGTGAGTGTAGAGAACGGGAGACCCTCTTTACTGGAAACGAGGCATTCCATCTTAGTCCTCACAGGTGACAACGCATCTGCATTTTGATTCGTAATCGAGGATAGATGTAGATGTCTATGGGCCACAGCAACCACTTACCATCAGGTGGACTGTGTGCTCGTTTGTCACCCTATCCTATAAAAAAAAAAAGTTACTGCGTGAATCGTGAACACACAATTTTTTACAGATATATTATAATTACATTGATATGTACCTAATTACTTTTGAAGTTCATTTTACATAACTATAAAGCAAAATATCCAAGAAAGAAAATAAAATTGATATAATTTCATCTAACCTAAACTTGTACGTGATGCTAAAAATCTATTCAAATATTGAATACGGATCCGAAAACCCATTCAATAAAATAAATCAGCAACGCAGAACTGGCCCTACAGTCGAACCCCAACCAGTTTCGCAAAAGGTTAACAATATATGTGAAAGGTCGGATGTTAAATTCCGGGTATGTAAAAGGGGCCCGTACAAAGTATAGGGGCGCCTACAATGGATTGGTGCAGATATTGCTGTCGAACGAACTAAATGAAATTCCATGAAATGTGGTAAAATTTATATATTGAAAACTTTCATACAAACCTACAGTTAAATTATTTCTAGAGGTTTACATTTGAATTTAAACACTATTACTGAATAATACAACTTAAAAACCTTTGAGATTAATTACTCCAGTCCATTCCACAGCCATAACACGGTAATTTTTTTTTTAAATTTAATTATTTAAGATTTGATTTTTCTGTGAGGAGAAACTTAATGTAATTTTTATTATATTGTAACTAAATAACTACATCTAAAATGTTTACAAACTAAATCAGTAAAATAACATAATCGTTTGAAAAAAACGCAAATTAATTTCCCAATCCCCTAAATCTCACAATCCCATCACAAAAATATTAAATTAAGTAGCGATCACGAAAGTAACTTTATATCACTACATTTTATCGTAAATTCCATTGATTCACTTGTGCAAAGTATTTCCACATAGTTTTTTCAATAACATACGTGATTGTATTTAAATTGTTATCAGTGCCGGTAACAAAGTGCATACAACGGCCACTCGACACGTTATCAGCAAATATATCTCCTGATTACGAACTCGCAAGCCGATCTCCCCCTTAAATATTTTACTCCATTTCGAGGCCGCCTGGGTGCGATATGATCTACATTCAGTGAAAAAAAAAACATACTTTAAAAACAATGAAAGGGCATTCACTTTTATCAGCGCATCGCCGCCCGAGGGTGAAAAGTGAAGTGAAAGGAAGTCGTGAATAGAAGTCCTCGTGGTAACAGCGACAAGCTGCCGGTTCATTAAATGAGTTTTAACCACCTCGCGGCGACGATAACGCTGAAAGGCGTCGTTATATTATCTTATGATGTTTGTTTGCCTTCAGTCATTACCTCCTGGTCCTGGCGCAGTTTCATTGGCGGCGACACGTCTCGTGGCATGTTCACTTGAGTACCGGCACTTGAATCACTCACTGCACTCGCATTCACCGTCTCTGCATAGTTTCCAGAGCTTCTTGCCTCAATAACGTCCCAGGGCACGCTGTCATCGTACACTGCAACGTTCATCAAACTGTCTCCAGAGTGAAATCTCCAAGGCAGGTCGGCACCGCTATGCCTAGGCCTTCGCCGCTTATGTCTAACTTTGTGTCTCGCGAATCTACCAACTTCGTGTTCAGACTCTTTCATCATAGCGTCGAATAAGGAGTTTACGTTGACTTTTAGTTTGCGATGATTTGGAGCAATGGAGTCCGGGGTTCGGGAAGTGACAGAGTCCCGACTCAGTCCCTCAGCGTCCCACAGTTGAACTCTGAGTATGTTATCGTGAGATGGCATGTGAGCGCGTGCGGCGAGCGCAAGTGCGGCGAGAGCCAAAGCGAGCACGCGCGCGGAGCCGTCCATTTCCGTCGGCGGACGCGAGCCTACTGAGCCACTACTAGCGGTGTGATACCTCTCGGCGCTTTTCCCGCGCTTTTCCCGATAACGCTACGAGCTAGAGCTACGGCACGCATTCGACATCAACGACGCTCCACGCCCGCACGTATATTAACATCGCCCGGTTCCACGTATTCCTTATCTCTGTAATTTTACTCATCACTTCGATATAGTCGCGTTGCGTAGGTTTACATCACGTAGCTGGAATCGAGTGGCACGTGTTTAATTAAAACAATTAATTCAACATAAACTTTATTTTTCGTAACACAACTATTGTGACACTTCTAAAATTAATGATTTGTACTAATTTACAACATATCCGTAACCACAAATGCATTATAACATAATATTCAATAACGGTAGAATTAAAATAACAAAAACATCAAGTCAAAATAGACCAAAAATCATATATGTATTTCGCAGTTAACTACTACAATTATATGCCTAACCATGGTTATTTAATACCGTCCCTCTTAATTAAATCACTGTTCCATAGTTTCTTCACTAAATCACGTATATTGGTTTTATATCATAAATACACACACCTATATATATTTACTTAACTATAGCGGCAAGTATGAAATATCTCGGCATATCACATAAAACACCAAATATTGTTTAAAAATACATAAACATTTACATAAATTATTCGCTCTATCTACATTTTTGATTAATTTACAGCAAGCTACAAATTTCAGAATTAACTGGTTAAGTACTTATATTATATCGTTTGATTTAAATATTGCTCAATTATTAATAATGTACGTAGATTACAAAAACCAACAAATCAACAAGATCATTTTAGTAAAATTTAGTCATAACATACACCTAATACATATCTAACTCAGTGATTATAATAAAAATATCTGAATCTCTATAATGATGATAATAATATCAACTAATGTTGAAAATATTATGAAATATTATGTTATGAAATTTTATGTTATATAAGATTCGCTTCATTTTTGGTTAACTTCAAAAAAGGAAGAATTTCTCAATTAGACAGTTCGTTCTTTTTTGTGTTATGTAACGCGATATCTTCGTCAGTAATGAATCGACTTTAATTTGTTTATTAGTGGTGCTCGGAGTACCGTGCTCCCATATAATTCGGATAAAAATCTACTCCTAAGCATGGGGGAAAACAGGAGATGAAATTTTTAATGTAACTATTTAGAGAATATTCTAGTCGTTTCTAACATGTAACATTTATTCTTTAGTCCAGTATTTAAGAGTTATTTTTAATAAAAACCGACTGCAAAGAAATACAAAGAATAAAATACTTTAGTACCACTTGCTTCTAAAGTCGGGGTTTCTATTCTTTTATAAACTATGTCTTAGCACAGACTTCTGAAGCCGTTATGTGAAAATTATTTTACTCTCTTTAGTCCTTTAAAGTAGGCTTTTACTTTTTAATAAAAGCTCAATTTTGCAAATTATAAATCGATTCGAAGTGAAATACGTACTAAAACTAATTAATGGGTTTGATTATTTTTGTCAAAGTACGTTCAATTATTAAACAGATACTAAGCGAAACTTACTACACTTTCAAAAAATAACTATGATATTAACACAACTAGGATTCACGTAATTATAAGCTTAACCATTGAACAAGGCTAAGATATGGTTCAGAACAGCAATACAACTCGCGACATCAAAGTCTAGCGGTGACCGTTATTGCACATAATTGGCTCATTATTGCGTATGATTGGCTGTGCGTGTCCCCCGTACTGATACGACATTCGCAGCTATCCCTCCACGTTTCGTTCAGCGCTAGAGTTACGTGCCGCGAGTACTAGCAATGGTAGCAACCCACGCTACGTTAAATTCCGCTAAGTTACTATGCACCTCTAAAACTCATTTGGAAATTAATCGGTGGTATTTATAAAAGTTTTATTCCTATAGAATATTTGAAAAAAATTACTTTACTCATAAATAATTAAAAATAAAACTTATATTTTGTTTTTTTTTTTTTAAGTAAAAATTGCCAAAATTTCCCTATGCGTCCTATTTACTGCGTCTAAGCGTCGGCACTCTACAAAAGCTAAAATAATATAATCCAATTTTACTTTGTGTACGAATCTAAACAAATTAACTTTGTCTGAAATTAATAATGAGTTCTCTTAAGGTAGTAAATAAACCCCTCAAAACTTATTAACATTTTAAAAGGTCGGAGTAATGAAAGATCATAAAAACTGTGACAGTTAAAGGAAAAAAAACGAATCATCAAGTACTGTATTTTGTCAAAGAAAGATAAGGGTACATTTTAAATAATGCCGAAACCACGCTCAATTTCTAAACGCACCTCACTTATACATCTTTCTTACTTTATTAGCTCATAAAAGTTTACTACTGGACATAGACATGCACCTAAAACCACATTGTTGATTGCAAATGATTTTCGTTGCATAATATGTGTACGTGTTCTAACTATAAGTTGAACATGGTATCGGCTTAGTTTTTGCATCACTTGCAATGTACACAATGTAGTTCTTTCATTGTTGGTATGAGTTTATTTAAAAGTGGCGTTTTAATTTTTTTATCTGTCGTTCCTTTGCTTCGGGAAATATTAAATACATAGCAATTTTGAGTGTTGAGTAACCCAATATCGATTTTAAGCTATTGCATACTACGCCGACAAAAAAAAAAAAATACCACCCCCCCAAAATAACAGTAAGATATTAAATAAATAAAAAGATTAGATAGTAGCATAGCACCAAAATACTGTCATTTATTGTCGTCCTTAATTAGCTATTTTTGATCCTTTCCTTAAAAATTTTTTCTAAAAATATTTTAAACATGAGCATTTCAGACCAATAAATATAGACAAAAATGCAGTCACGCACACAACATGCAACTAATATTTCAATATGTTGAGCATGGCCTTTGCGTCATTTAAAAATTACGTAATGTCCTGTCTGTCTTTTTATGTTGGTCTGAAATATGCATAGATTATATTTTTATTCCAGGTCTGTCTTAAAATTCTCAAATTTTAGGGTTCCGCGGTATACATAATAGGGACTAAAATACTTATATATGTGTAGGTCTTAATAATAAGATAAAAAATTATTACTAGGTACATATTTCTTCATCACTGCATGTAAAGCGACTATGCAAAAATGTTTTCGACTTTATTAATCGGTTTGAATATTATTATTAGATACGGATTTTTAAAATAATCGTGAGCCAACCAAGCTTGGTTTTTCCCGACTACAGTCTAATTAAAGTAGGACAATGGCTTTAGCAAGTTACGTGTCTGTATGTATATATGTATGTATGTATACATAGATACATGTATGTATGCATATACATACATACATACATGTATCTATGAATGTATTTTTATCTTTTTCCTCAGTTTGTATCGTTGGTGGAAATGAAGAGTTATTCAGTTCAACGTGTTATAGGCCATATTATGACGTCATATAAAATATAAAATAATGGCCTAGTTTGAAACAAAAAATTAGAATTACATTATGAAAATATGTAATATGTAGATTACCTATAATACTAATGACTCATGGCATACATACAAACACCACATTGATTTAATTTAAAAATCAATTATTACAACCACAGCAACAGGCAGGTAGGGTCTTGGTAGCACCCCTAAGATCTCTAACCCCAAAATAATTTAAATAAATAAAGAAAACCCTAAAAACAAACACCGTAGACGTATACATATCCTTATACTTCTTTGGTGGGCGGTTTTTTTTCGTATTTGGATTTTGTTTAACTTTTTTTATGTATTTAATATTGATATAGGTACCAAGATTCAAAGAAGCCTGTGCCTGTGGAAAATATTTAATAATAATTTGTAAAAATATTTTATAGTAAATAATTTATAAAATTATAATGAACTACAGTTTCGCTTCAATGCGATAAAAATACTAGAATAATCTGCACACTGAAACCCTACCTTACGCGCACATAATAGGCCATAATTTTTTACAATTGCTATAGGTATATTATCCTTAAATTCCATTATAAATCATCTTTAATTATCACCTATTCACATCAAAGATAGTAGACTATACGCTATAAATTATAGGAATGTTCAATAATTGCAATTTCAATAACGTATTGATAGAGAATATGTACCATTATTGAATAAATAAATATTATGTAGAAATTCGTAATTGATAGCCTTTTAATCAATGATGGATCCTAAATGCATTAAATACTATAAATATTGTTCCCATTTCAGTATATACAATATAAGAAAGAAAAAAATTAAAGGAGAAGAAAGAGAAAATATATAAAAATAAACAACTTGTTTAACATAATACACATAAATAAAATTTTAGTGTATCTACATGTGTGACTGAATCAATTTTTAGCTTCCAAACGAATTTCTTGTTTGTATATTTAATTTTTTACATGAATATTACATTAAAAACATGTTTTTTTTTCTTTATTAGTAACAATGGATTTAAGTGGAAAACCTACCGTTATAAGAAGGTTGTAACTAAGTAACCTAGGACAAAATTTCTTTTTATTAGATAGGTAAATGTCGACACCAAGGATATGTTTGGTAGTATTCATCACTCAATCTATATCAATTAAAACAGGAACACCTAAGCACCTTTAAAGCATATATATATAAAGGGCTACTTAACTACGCTTAATCTGAAATCAACCTAATAATTACATATCTGTACTATTTACTTGCATGTACGCAAGATATTGTTATACAAGATAATATTTCTATGTTGACAAAAAATACGTCACCTAGCACTACTTAAAACATTAACTCATAAACATTAAATTATCAAGCAAGAGAAAAGAAATATGCAAGAAAGATTATGACAAATATATTTTCCCTCATCTATGCTCTTAAAAAAGCGTGGTAGCTCAGATGGTTAACGCTCCTAATATAACGAAGCGAGCAACCCAGGTTCGATCCACGCCGGCACCAATGAAATTGTTATTGCAATTTTAAGTGCTGATTTACCACGTACTCGGCGGAA